TCAAGACTCACCCTTTCGATTGCTTCCTTCTCTTGAGGTGTGACTTGAATGACGTTCTGTCCTGTTGGCAGCTGCCCCATGACGGGGCCCCCGACCCTGCCGCACCCCCCTCCCCTTCTACAGGCTCGTTCAACATCTCAATGAAGTCTTGCTGGTGGTCATTGATATGCTGCAAAACAAAACAGAACAACTCAAAACAGAGCAAATCAAAACAGAAAATCACGCAGGACTTGAAATTCATTTTTTGGAATGGGTGCACTGGTGCACCCAACCTAAACAAATTGGGTGCCCAAAAATTTTTTGGGTGCTCCATATAAGTAGAATGTCAGCAAAAATGAATTATGTTTCGTTTCTGAATAAATGTACGATAAGAATGATTTAATTATTTTATTGACCCTTAGATATTTAGAATATGCTGTATACTACTATACATTTAACATCTTAACATACATGTACGTAAACCTACAAAAATATTTGAGTGCACTGGTACACCCACAGAAAAATATTGGGTGTACAGTTCCAAATTTGGGTGCACTAATGCATCCAGTATTTCAAGCCCTGGCAAGTATCCTTCAGTCTCGCAACACTTGAAAGCTAAACTATATTTTAACTACATCCCTATCTTTCATAGCTGCTGCCTTATTTATAAGAGTTGTACTGCACATACCTTACTACTGTGCTTCACAATACACCTAAACTTTTTAGAACGGTCAACAACTGTACCTGTGCCTAAACAAACTAAAACAAGAAATGGAACAAAGCTTATCTTAAGCTCATCTTCTTGCTGCATAAGCCTGTAACCAAAAGAGAATTGGTAGTTTACTGGCGAATTAGCATAGCACGTCGGCAGAACCCGTTTTCACGGTTTTTGTTGAACGTTTGGTCAACGTCGCATCAAAATTTTTGCCTGTTGCAGATGATATCTTTTGGAAGCTCAGCTATAGACGGGATGTTAACCTTATATGGGTGAATACAACCTTATACGAGATGTTCTGCCAAAGTGCTATGCACAATACATTACTGGTTCTTCGCAAGTGCAGTACTGCCGACGTGCTACTTAGGCCACACCAATTTAATTTCTTGGTTAACAGATTCACCGCTTCTTTTTTTTCTCATTTGCAAAAAAAAAAAAAAAATTCAGAATCAACTGCAAAATGCTCATATTTTGCCCTGAACAGTTGAAAACAGTCCTTTTCTTCCTAATTGTTACAGTTATTCCATCTATCAATGCAGTGGTATCATTACAAGTTAAAAATTCATTGTTTTAATTTTGAATCAGCCTGGTGTGTTGACTTCATGGCTCCTATGGTACCATTTTGGGGCATAATAGGATGCCTAGGCCTGTGTTTTTTTTTTTTGTTTTTTTGCCCGCCCGCTCCACTATTTTTCTAGAAAATCCGTTAACCAAGAAATTAAATTGGTGTGGTCTTAGCATGCTAAAGGTTAACCCGTGAGGCAGTCTGCCCTGTTGTGTACCTGTAGAAGCTGTGGGTTGGACTGTCCCAGGTTCTGCAGGAGTGCTGACAGTAGGTGTGGGTTAGACCGGATCAGCTGCCGCATGTGCTGGAACTGGGGCTGTTCCCTCAGGAACTCCAGGGGGTTCTCTGTAGAGGGGGCAGAAGATACGTCGGTGAAGGTCAGACATCCAGGTAATAAGATCAGGGGTGCCAGAGTATACAGTGCAATTTTACGGTATACAGTGCAAGTTTACTAGTATACAGTGCAATTTTACGGAATACAGTGCAATTGTATTAGAATACAGTGCAATTTTACGGAATACAGTGCAAGTTTACTAGTGAGGTTGAATCACGTGACTTGGACCCGGCTTTCCCTGATTCCTCAGTTTCAAGATGGCTTCACTGCTCACCGCTGACTCACATATTTCTGTCTTTTACGAGGGAATTCGAAATGATCCCTGTGTAGTAACAATAACTACTAACATGCCCTGTGTGTAGTATGTAGTGATTTGACTAAAGGTCTATCTATGAGAAAGGTCCAAATTCCCTCGAAAAACACAGAAAGACGTGATTACGCTCCGTCAGCGGCGTCCCCGGAAAGCCGGGCCCAGGTTCCGTCATTAGTAAAATTGCACTGTATTCCATAAAATTGCACTGTATACTAATACGATTGCACTGTATTCCGTAAAATTGCACTGTATACTAATACGATTGCACTGTATTCCGTAAAATTGCACTGTATACTTATACGATTGCACTGTATTCCGTAAAATTGCACTGTATACTAGTAAACTTGCACTGTATACCGTAAAATTGCACTGTATACTCTGGCACCCCTGAAGATATGCCAAAAAACAGTTACTCAAGCAAACTGGACATGATTTTGGAAATGGTCAGACGTTTCAGGCAGCATCCACTACCTTTTGTCAGTGACGTTTGCATATTCATCAATAGTTCGTACTTATAAACCTGCTTTTCTGACAACTCTCCAGTGTCAAGTTGACAAAAGCAAGTGGATGCTACCCGACACGTCTGACTGTTTCAAAAATCATATCCAGTTGCTTGAGTAACTGTTTTTCTGGGGGGAGAAGAGTTTTTTTTTTCACTCTGTATCACCTATGGCCCCGTTCATGATTGGATATCTGTTGCGAATCAATTCGATTTAAAAAAATAAATCGATTCATTTAGGAACATGAACGCTCCAAACCGGTTCCGTTGCGATTTATTCTGAACCACCTCGCGAGGTGGTCTGAAACGATACGATACGATTCGCATTCGTAGAATTGTAATCATGAACGCGCGGATGCGAATCGTTCCGGTTCGACGCTGTACTCCCGGGTACGTGGGGGCCACGGTCGGTCATAGTTTGCGGCGCAGTGGCTTGTACTGCCAAAAATTCTACTTGAATCGTACAATCTTGACATCGAGTTCTAATTACTGGTCGACTGAGGAAACGGGACTTCGAATCCCGATATTGACTTGGGTAAATCAGGAGATCCAGAGGAAACTGGATGGTGTGTACTAGAACCTACCCTGGGCGTGAGGGCGAGTGGTAGCCCAACGGGGACGTTGGGGCGGCGGACCGTGGGGGTTTGCGCCAGATGCGTCCGGGGCACAGCCTATGCCGTGGGGAGGACATGAGTCGGGAACGAGCGACCACTCGCCCGGACAGGCGTAAACTCTCCGCCTTACGAGCCGGGTTCTCAGGAAATATTCAAAGAAATTGTGATATACATATGAAATGCAAGTCAATTCGAGGTGTGAAACCGTTTCCAGTGTGGGTTCAAGTTTTGAATCACGGACGCAAAAATGGCCAAAAATATATTCCGTTTCGATTCGGATCGTGGCCAAACCGGAACACATTTCAATCATGAACGAGGCCTATGATAGGGAGGCCAAAGTGAAAAATTCCTGGGAAGCATCTTTGAGGGCACATTTCTTCAGAAATAAGTATCATTGACACTTCAGGTATTAGATGTTGGTAGTACTTACCAAGGTGAATAACCACAGAAAATTTCAGAGACGTGCGATGTTGGGAAGTTCTTTTTTATTGATGTTGAAAATGGGAAAAAGTCACAAATTTGGCTTCAAAAATGGCAGAAAACATGCTCAAATATAGGGTGTAAATGACCCAATAATCTAAAAACTAAGTATTGTGCAGGTTTCTTCTTGCAGATATGCAATAAACTTAATAGGGTCATGCCATATACACAGTACTGACCTTGTCAGTCATGTCATACTTAATACATTGTACCTGCAATTAGTGACATTGGTTAAAAACTGATCAAATTCTAGCTAAAAACAGGGCGGCAAAATGAAATTTCTTATTTCTTGGTCTACAGGGCTGGTTTTGGACTCAAAAGATGTGTTTTTGTTCCAAATGCATGAAATGATAAAAAAATTTCAAATTCACCTTTCGATTTTTGTAATTTATGCAAATTTATGAAAGTGTCAAATTTCGCAAAAATGCTTTTCTGACATGTTCGTCCCTTCATATCTCATACCTCCCATCCCCGACAATCTCAAAAAGGCCTAATACAACATTTCCTATATTGGTGCTATCAAAATCAAAGCAAACTTGCTTAACATCATGAGCATTTCCAGATATAAGCTATATCCAATATTGACATTTGTTCCCACATGCCCCCCTCCCCACAAAAATAATGCAACATGAGCCACTTTAGCCAACTCAAAACACCACTTCCAAAAACATTAAGAACTTCAATATTTCACTTACAATGTCACTACATAGTACATATCAAATGTGATTGATAACAATAAGACAAAGTAACATAAAACCTGAGAAAAGAATGCCTAAAACTGGCATTTTGTTAAAAACGCTCCCCTCCCCACCTGTAACAATGCAACATGAGCCACTTTTGACAAACTTAAAATTGCACTTCTGATGGCCCTGGAGGCTCAGATTTTCACTGACAGTGTGGCATAGTGCTACATTTTGCTAACATAATGCACAAACAAACATATAGTATACATATCCTGAGAAAGGTACACTTTGAAATGTCACTTTTCACAAACCGCCCCCCCCACCTGCCACGAGCCACTTTTGACCAATGTAAAAAGGCACTTCTAATGGCCCTGTAGGCTCAAATTTTCACTCACAGTGTGGCATAATACTATATTCTACTCACATAATGCTCAAATGAACTTACTATATAGATAAATAGAGAACATTACACTTGAAGATGGCTTTTTCAAACTGCCCCCCAGGC